GAAGCTGACCGCAAGGGTGGCCGAGCGGGAGGGGTCGACCGTGAGGCGTACCGACCGCGAGGGTGGCCGAGCGGGGGGCGTGCCGACCAAGACGGCGCGGGGCTCAAAAAGGGGGGTGTGCCATGTGATGATGTGAAATGGAAAGGACAGGGTAAGGGGAGGGGACAGTGCATCGTGGCCATACACGTGGCAATATCGCGGGGGAAGTGAAGCGTTGGAGCGGAAATGAAACGATAGGTCACGAGGAGGGGTTTTGAAAAGGCAGTTTTGGCGGTTGATTTGAAAGGTTTTGAAACGGGCGAAAATTAATTTGGATCCATGGAATACGGGTAAACCGTGGATTTTTGGTATAATTCGTTTCACCTATCTTTTTACAAAAACTCAAAATATCCAAGTGTTAATTCCTTCATTGCGCACGACACACCTTTGCAACATTTTCTCAACTTCCTTGCTCCTGCGTCAGAAGTGATTCGTAAGCAAACCCTAGAAATGGCACGAGAAGAAGTGGGGAATGTGAGGGTGGACCCCCTGGGAGACGATGATGCAGAGGAGCTAGCAGCGCAATATAGGACGGAGACACGAATGGTGGGGGTGGGGAAACCGGTGGGACAATCGCAGGCGTCGGCCCTGATAGTGGCTCCAAAGCCAATAAGCCAGGTAGAGCCGGATCATTGGCACACTAAGGCTGACAAATCCACAATTACTGCGGCGGATTTGGAGGCTATCAGGGAAAAATACCAGATTCCGGCGGAGGTGGAGTTATTGCTGCCAACGTCAAGGGAAAGGCCGTCTGATGCCAGGCCAGGGGAGTTTTCCCTTTACAAGGAGGCGCTAAAAGGTGGGCTGAGGTTGCCACTGCCCCAAGTGGTGGTTGACGTACTGAACCGTCTGGAAGTAGCACCGGGGCAATTGATGCCCAATGCATGGAAGATTCTGCTGGCCTGTGCTAGAGCGTGGCCCAAGGCGAAGGGAGGGGAAACCATGGCGGTAGACGAGTTCTTTTCCTGTTATAAGGCTTCGGGGCAGCAAGAGACGTGGGTCACCCTACAGGCAGTGATGGGGAGGCGATTGGTGGCGGGGCTGCCGACATCGATCAAGGGGTGGCGGCCACGGTGGTTCTACGTGTCTGGCAATGGAGGACGGGGAGTACGCACCATCTGGAAGGTACCCATTAGGTCAATGAAGCCAAGACTGGGGGCAGAGGGTGAAGAGGGTGAATGAGTGGAGGGAGAAAGAGAAGGCCAAATGGGACGAGCTTGTTCAGCCGTCCGCATTGTTTGAGGTAGGGTTGGGACCGCAGTCGAGGGGTGGAGACCACGACCGAGCAGAATTGGAGGCGAGAAGAGAAGTTCAGGAAGTAAAGGATCAGGCCATACTTACCAAAGCCACGAAGTTGAAGGAAGCGCAAGGAGACCGACCGCCTCAACCGATCGCGCGGGAGAGGATCCGACTGCGCCCAAGGCCGCTGGGAGGGAAGGACTTAAGTAGTTTTGAGCCATGACCGCCCCCAGTAGATCCTGTAAAAGAACAGGCCAGAAAGGAGGGGGAGGCTCTGAAGAAGAAGAAGAAGAAGAGGAGTGCCCCAGAGGGAGCTGCAGATGAGTCTGGGGCCAAGAGGTCTAAAGTGGCCCCAGCTGAGGTGGAGGTCCCTGTGGCCAAGGATACCCCAGAGGTGATGGGGGTCACCCCAACACTGGAGGTTGTGGAGGCTGCCCCAACAGTGCAAATAGGAGTTGGGTTGACTGAAACTGCGCCGAGCGGGAGGGAGCAGACCAAAAAGGGCCCTGCCCCCCAGGAAGGAGGGGTCTGTCTGGCCACGGCAATCTATCATGCTCGCGCGGTAGCTGGAAGGTTGGAGGGAGAAGAAGGCCTAGCCAGGGCGGGGGTAGACCGCTTGGCGAAGATTGTGGAGGAGACAGCCTTGCGCTCGGCATCGGGATTCAATGAGACTGACCTGCTGAGGGGGATATGCTCTGCCGAAATGGAGGTAACCACCTTGGCAGGGGCCCTTCTAAGGAAAGCAGGGGCTGCCAAGCTAAAGGCTGTAGAGGCCAAGGCCCAGTTGGCCAAGTTGAAGAAGGAGAGTGCCGACTGGAAGACTGCCCATGCTGAGCTGCAAGCAGTCAAGTTGGAGCTGGAGGACACACGCCGTAAGGTCGTGTCGCTCGAGTTCCAACTGGCTGGCGAACAGAAAAAGTTGGAGGAGTCTGAAAGAGCCTGCGCCGTTGTGATCGAGCGACATGAAGAGGCCATGAGCAGTAATGAAGAGCTGGTCAGGCAAAAAGATGAGGCAGATGCCAGAATTGAAGATCTGTTGAAGGAGTTGGAGGATGAGCGCGTCAAAGCAGAGAAGGAGAAGGGGAGGCTCGTGAGGGAGTTGGAAATAGAGAAGGCGAAGGCGATGGCGGAGATGGAGAGCCTGAGGAAGGGAATGGAAGAGGAAAGGGCGACAGCGGCTGCTGAAAGGGGGGCCCTGCAGAGAGAGCTGGACGAAGAGAGGGCGAAGGCGGCTTCTGAGAGGGCGGCCTACCCTGATCTGTGCGTTGCAGTAGTGGAGCAATACAAAGGGTCTCCCGAATTTCAGATGGCGGTAGATGCTGCAGTCGCCAGGAATCTGGCTGGGCAAGAATCTGGGGGGTGGGCCCATCAAGGACGACTGTTGGAGGTAGGACAGAGGCAGAGGTTATTGAGAGCTTCCAGCAGTCAGACTTCTACAAGCACGAAATGGCTGAGTTCTGGGACAGCGATTGGAAGATGTTCAAACGCAGAGCTGAAGAGCTGTTCCCAGACTTGGACCTGAGTAGTGTAATGATTGGTGAAGATGATGTGGCCCAGACCCCCCTGGACGAGGGCATTGAAGAAGAAGAGCTTGTATCCAGCGAGGAGGAATAACCAAGGGAGATGAAGAGCCCCCTCTCTGTGTTTGTTTTTTTTTTTTTTTTTTGTAATGAACTTGTGTATACATTCTAAATGAATAAAATTTCGTTTATGTTGTCAGTTGACTGTGTTGGTCTGTATTGTCTAAAATGAATGGAGTCTTGTCACAAAAACTGGTCATAAAAATTGTGCAATAAAAATTTCGTGCAAAGTTAAGTTAAAAGTGCCTCCCTGCAGAGTGAGATTGGATTTGTATGAAAATTGAAAGGATGATAGTGGTTGATTGAAAAATTGGATTATGAAATTGTAAGAAATTAATATTCAATGGGTTAGTACTTCAGTTTAATAAGGGATGAAGAACCATGGATGAGGATAGAAAAGTAGGTGCAAAAATCGTAACTAAAAGGTTATTGTAAATTGTAGAGAAGAGATTGGAAAACAAACGGGTGGGTGGGAGATAATCTGATTAGTAATAATAAATACGCTGAGACATCCTTTGGAACTTAACTAAGTAAAAAACTGGTCTGGAATTGTGAATAAGCTTTCAAAAATGTGACAAGTGTTAAAAATTGGTCCTGCTTTGATTCTAAGATATCTGCATGGAGTGCTCAGTTCTGCGAGCTTGAAGTGCTCAGCTGGCTGAGGCTCGAGTGCTCGGTCTGGCCGAGGCTTTGAAGTGCTCAGTCTGGCTGAGACTTTGAAGTGCTCAGTCTGGCTGAGGTTTTGAGTGCTCGGTCTGGCCGAGGCTTTGAAGTGCTCGGTCTGGCCGAGGCTTTGAGTTCTCGGTCTAGCCGAGGCTTTGAAGTGCTCAGTTTGGCTGAGGCTTTGAAGTGCTCAGTCTGGCTGAGGCTTTGAGTGCTCGGTCTGGCTGAGGCTTTGAAGTGCTTAGTCTGGTTGAGGCTTTGAAGTGCTCAGTCTGGCTGAGGCTTTGAGTGTTCGGTCTGGCTGAGGCTTTGAATGCTTAGTCTGGCCGAGGCTTTGAAGTGCTCAGTCTGGCTGAGGCTTTGAAGTGCTCAGTCTGGCTGAGGCTTCGTGTGCTCGGTCTGGCCGAGGCTTTGAAGTGCTCAGTCTGGCTGAGGTTTTGAGTGCTCGGTCTGGCCGAGGCTTTGAAGTGCTGCAAGTGAAAGTGTCATGGGAGCGACATACAGACAGTTGAATTATAAAAGCTGAGAACTTCAGTCGGAATTTGCATTATGTATTAAAGGGGGAAATACAATAATGTTGACAATACAAAAGTGTGAACTCATTGATAGTAACACTTCAAATGTTCCGTATTCTAGGGATAGGGAAGGTCACGGCCTTCCATGTCTTGAAGTCGGTAAGTGCCTGGTCGTGGTCGGGCTCTCACAACGTAGGGTCCCTCCCATTTGGCTGCCAGTTTGCCCTCAGTTGGATTCTTTGTGGCAAGAGTCGCTTCTCTCAAGACAAGGTCGGCTATAGAGAACTCTCGTGGTCGAATTCTGCGGTTGTAGTGTGTTCTCATTTTCTGTTGGTACGAAGCCAATCTGATGGTAGCAGTCTCTCTGAGCTCTTCGATGAGGTCCAGGTCTGTTCGATGGAGCTCTTCGGTTGAGGCGAGATCCGGATGTAAAACCCTGGGGGTGGGCAGACCGACTTCTACTGGAATAACCGCTTCAGCGCCATATGTTAAGCGAAAAGGGGTTTTCCTAGTGGGAGTGCGAGCAGTGGTTCGGTAAGCCTAGAGTACACTTGGTAGTTCCTCAGCCCAAAGGCCTTTAGCAGCTTCGAGCTTAGTTTTGATGATTTTCAGAAGAGAACAGTTGGTGACCTCAACTTGGCCATTTGCTTGGGGATGACCGGGGGAAGAGAAGCATGGTTGAATCTGGAGATCTGCATACTTCGCGTTGTCGAATTGTTTGCCGTTGTCGGAGATGATGGCTTTGGGGATGCCAAATCGGCAAACGATCGATTGCCAGATAAACCTGGTGGTGTTCTGCTCGGTCCCCTCCGGCTCGGCCACCCTCACGGTCAGCTCCCCCCGCTCGGCCACTCTTGCGGTCGGCACGCCTAACGGTCGACCCCTCCCGCTCGGCCACCCTCACGGTCAGCTCCCCCCGCTCGGCCACCCTTGCGGTCGGTACGCCTAACGATCGACTCCTCCCGCTCGGCCACCCTTGCGGTCGGCACACCTCGCGGTCGGCACGCCTAACGGTCGGCCTCTCCACTCGTTTCGTACTTCTCTTCCTTATTACTATTCACTTCGTTGGACTAAAGCTGCACTCGAAAATGGGGGACTACTGACATGGATAGGCCCATAAGGCTTACAGCCCACAGCAAACAACCCCAAACCCATCGCTTGGGACCCATAGCATAACCCGGTTGGCAAAGCCCAGGATAACTGGAGGCCATCTGGGCATGGAGGGCCAATGACATTCGGGCACATGGCAAGTGAAACACAGGCCACATCAGCAGACAAAGATCTACAGAGTTATTGCCACAACACATCACCATTAATGCAGCACATCACTGCATTTATTACGACAACTCCTCCCCGTCGGAACAGAGCCCCTCACCCTGAACAAGGTAAGCTACGGCACAGGCTTTCGGCGGAAGGGGGCACGTCGCAAGGGAAAGTGAAATGATTACCAAAGGATATAAACAAGAATCGAAGACAAGATGAAGGTTAAGCTTTTCTATCTCTCTCTCTCTATATTTCCTTCTTCCTTTACTGATTTGTTCGCCGGAGGGTTCACTGGGGGACTACCCCGTTCCCCTTTGGACTTGTTTGCAGGTCATCTGGCGGAATCATTCGCCTGGATCGGAACTTGAAGAGCTTGGACCAGCCCGACCCATCCGCCCAGGACGAACTGCATCATCAGTTGGCGCCGTCTGTGGGAAACTGTGGTTTATTCGTGCGCTAGTTGTGTTCACTATCGCCGAAGCCCCCCGTTCTCCCCGTTATCTTTTCCTTTCACCCGTCCAGGTGTATGGTCACGACTAGATCCATGGCTTCTCATCATAATACCGCCGATCATCAAACAGACCCTCCCTATCCAAACAACCCACCACAGTACATCATCGAACTTACCAACAACATTAACCGCATGGCCGAGCAAAACCAGGCCCTGATCAGTGCTTTACTTCAAAGAAACCCCCCCGCTCCACCTCCAGATATTCCAACCAACCAAGAAAGAACCCCGGTCCACATTGCTCCACAACCCCCTCCGCTCAACCCAGAAGGTGTACAACCTCCTCCTCCTCCACATATGAGCCTACCACCTCCACCCCCACGCCCGTTAGTCGTGGCACTAGCCCCTGAGGGGGAAGCCAGCAGCGTCCAGCCTCCATTGACCGACCATGGCGACAACATTCCCCTCTGGGACGCTGAACTCCGAGCTATGAAGCTCCAACTACAAGGGGTCATGCAGAACATTCAGCACAAGCCCTCAGTCACCGCCAACTCGCCTTTTGTTGCCTCCATCCGGGACAAACCATTGCCTGCCAAGTTCAAAATGCCCACCATTGACTCTTTCAATGGCACAACGGACCCAGTCGACCATCTGGAAACCTACCGCACCCTTATGATCCTCCATGCTTTCCCCGACGAGATCATGTGCCGAGCTTTCCCCGTGACACTGAAGGGATCAGCTCGGTTGTGGTTTAGCCAGTTACCGGCGGACTCCGTCTCCACCTTTCAACACCTCAGTGACTCCTTCCTGAGCCATTTTATCGGAGCCCAGCGTCAGAGACGCCCAGCCACCCAACTCCTTAACATTCGTCAGACCGAGGGGGAGTCGCTTCGCAGCTTCGTCACCCACAACACCGAAGCCCTTCAAGTAGCGGAGAACGACGACAAGGTCATCCTCACGGCTTTCATGGCCGGCCTACGGTCGTCCGATTTTCTTTTATCCCTCTCCAAAAACCCTCCAACCACCATGGCAGCCTTACTATCCAAAGCCCAGAAATACATGAATGCTAAAGATTCCCTGGCCGCTCGGCAAGAGTCGATCATTAAAAATCCGACCCCCAGAGACAAGAGGAAAGACTCAGAACCCAGGACCGCCCAGTATAATAGCCAAACACCCCACTATAATGACCGACCCCACCGAGCTGACCGGTCGGCTCCGACCCAACCGCCCGGTCGGTTCGAGCGGTACACACCACTCAACTTTCCCATGGAACACGTCCTCAATCAGATCCAGCGGGACTACCCCCTCAAGTGGCCCCTGCCTTTACGAAACCCTTCCAATCGCAAAGATCAGTCCAAATACTGCCGTTTCCACCAAGACCATGGCCATACCACCGACGAGTGTATTAACCTCAAAGATCAGATCGAGACCTTCATACGTCAAGGCCGCCTCAGCCGATTCACAGACACCCACCCTCAGCAGAGGCAAAGAACCGACCTTCCCAGGAACAATCGCCAACATACACCACCCCGGAACCAAGCCCCACCTAACCAAGGCCATGATCGCCCACCACCACAGCCTCGACCTCCAGGCAATCCCCCTCCACCAGTCAGAGAAATCAGAGTCATTTCAGGCGGCCTTGCTTGCGGAGGACCATCCCGCTCGGCTCAGAAGGCAGAGCTCAGAAAAATAAGGTAGAGCTCAGACAAAGCAGTGGCGACGGTGGACCGACCTTCCAAACAGTCAAAACAGTGGATCGAACCCATCACCTTCATGGACACCGACTGTGCAGGAGTCCGTTACCCACATGATGACCCCCTTGTCATTTCCACCATCCTCTCCAACTACAAGGTCAGACGAGTTCTCATAGACAACGGCAGCTCTTTAGACATCATCTTCCTCAATTGCTTCCACCAGCTCAAGATTGGAGAAGAAAGCTTGTCTCCTCTCCAAACCCCTCTGGTCGGTTTCACAGGCGATCGTGTGACCTCCATCGGCTCCATCGATCTACCTATAACCATTGGCGAACACCCAAAGCAGACCACTAAGTTGCTCACCTTCCTTGTGGTCGACTGCCCCTCTGCTTACAACATCATCCTTGGCCGCACAGCCCTAAACGCCTTCCAAGCCATCACGTCCACATATCACCTTGCCATCAAATTCCCTACCGATCTCGGCGTCAGAACTGTCAGAGGAGAACAGACCGTAGCCAGGGAGTGTTATGTCGCCTCCCTCAAAGAAGTCAAGCTGAAAGAGGCCATGATCATCGAAGGGCTTG